TACGTAAGGTCCTGTAGCACATACTAGGTACTGCCCTTGGATTATGTCCCCAACTCTATTTTATTTATTGATAATTTCCAAATCTGTATCTTTTAACTCTGGCTTCCCCATTTATAGACTTGCATTTCTGTCTAGTTATGAAAAATTTTAACTGGATATCTAATAGGTATTTCAGATACTTTAATGTGTCTGCAACTGAATTTTTAAAAATTTAAGTCTCTTCTTCATCTTACTTGTCTTTTCTTAAATATTCTAATTTAATACTTCATTATCCTTTTCTCTTCATTAAACTTTACTTCTGCCCTTTCCAAATTACCAACTTGTATTGTAACCTTTGAAATGTCTTTCAGATTTAGCCATCTACTCCACCCCCATGGTCACCATCTTGCACCTTCACTGCCTATTCTTTAAAAAATTATCATTATTATTATTATTATTATAAAGTAATGAGCACATTTTACAAAAAAAATCAAAAGTTTGTAAACTAAAATTTCTCCTGTTTTTCCCTCCCAATTCTACTTCTCTTAAGTAACCATAGTTTCTGTTTGGTTTATTTATTGCCAGATATTTTCTAAGCATTCTAAATACATAGATACTAGAGGCCCAATGCACGAAATTCATGCAAGTCTAATTAGCGTATTATGCTTTTATTATTATAGATATTTACTGTCTTTTTAAAAAATATATTTTATTGATTTTTTTACAGAGAGGAAAGGAGAGGGATAGAGAGTTAGAAACATCAATGAGAGAGAAAAAATCGATCAGCTGCCTCCTGCACACTCCCTACTGGGGATGTGCCCACAACCAAGGTACATGCCCTTGACCAGAATCGAACCCTGGACCCTTCAGTCTGCAGGCCAACGCTCTATCCACTGAGCCAAACTGGTCAGGGCTATTTACCGTCTTTTGCTTGGACTCTTTTTTTTTTTTTTTAAATATATTTTATTGATTTTCCACAGAGAGGAAGGGAGAGAGATAGAGAGCCAGAAACATCGATGAGAGAGAAACATCGATCAGCCGCCTCCTGCACACCCCCCACTGGGGACGTGCCCGCAACCCAGATACATGCCCTTGACCGGAACCGAACCCGGGACCCCTCAGTCCGCAGGCCGACGCTCTATCCACTGAGCCAAACCGGTCTCGGCTGCTTGGACTCTTAAAACAGATTCTTCACCCTGGCCAATGTTGCTCAATGGTAGAGCATTGGCCTGCACACCCAAGAGTTGCAGGTTTGATTCCCAGTCAAGAGCACGAACCTGGGTTGCAGATTTGTTCCCTGACTACTCACAAAAATGTTTCTCTCTCCTCCTCCCTCCCTTCCACTCTTTCTAAAAATCACTGGAAAACATATCCTTGGGTGAGGATTAACAACAACAACAACAAAAACAGATTCCTCACTGGTCTCCCTGCCATCAACCCCTCTCCACTCTGGTTATTGCCAAAGTTATCTACTTAAACAGCAAATCTTACTCTGCTAAAGAGCTCTGCTTGTTCCCCATCACCCCCTATAAGATAAGGACCAATCCCTTAAATATTGCATACAGAAGCCCTTCACAGTCTGGGCCCATGGTCTATCTCCAGCCTTACTCCTTGCCACATCTGCCTTGTTCCTTATCTCCAGCATGACTACTTCCTGGATTGGTCATGTCTTATCATATCTCCCTACCTTTGTACATATGCCCCATCTCTTCTCTATCATCAGGTTTCTTATTCTTCAAAACCCTGCTTATCTGTGGCCTCCTTTATAGAAGCATCTTTCTCATTTTTCCCAAGCAGAGATAATGGCTCTCTCCTCTCTGTTCTTTTAGTACCATAATCATACCTTTTCTTTTTGTCTGTATGTCTCCCCCTTAGCAGAAATTCCTGAGTAGCAGTTTGTGAAGAAGATAAAATAAGTCATAATCCTATAATTTCCTTCTTTAAATATATTTTCCTTGAACCAGAAATTTTCCTTATATTTTGAGGGTGAAATTTTATTTTAGTGCCTTATTGGAAACTGAAAAGTAAGGTTTGCTTTGTTTTAAAGTCAAATTGGAAAGGACATTTGGTAGTAGGCAAGATATCATAATAAAAAAATAAGGTAGCATAAGGAAGACTTTTTAATGACAAAGATTTTAAAATATAAACTCCTGAAGTATCATTTTCTAGTAAGCATGCCATGTGTGTTTGATTACTATCCAAATTGTCACTTAGATCATTCAACAGTGAAAATATACATTATAGTTGCTGTTCAAAAAGTATTTTCTTGCTAAGTGGCTATAAAGACAGTTAGTTTAAAACTTCAGGATTCTAAAACTCAGTGAAAATAATTTGGTATATTTTGTCTCTATCTGTAAAATGAGGCAGAATTTTAATAGAAATAAGTTGGTTTAAGTATTAAGCAATTTTCTTCTGAAAATGAGATACTCTCTTTTATGATGGAGACGTCACTGTGGTTGCTGCATTTTCTTTGCTTCCTACTGAAGAAGCTCCCTGTGCACTTACAAAGAGCATAAGCAGTCATGTCAGAGGTCAGCTATTTGAGTCCATTTTCCCACAGCTGCCTGGTGCGAGTGATCTTTTACTGTGTTTTAAAAAAATGGGCAAGGATTAGAGAGGATTAGGAAGAATAGTACCCTCTTGAATATAGGCCCAGGGCTCTAAGGGGAGAAAACCCAACCAGGCAGCAAATGGGCTTTGCTTGACCAGGACACAACCTCTGCTGCATTCCTTTAAGAAACTGAATGGGAAATGTTAAGTCCCCAAACTGGATTAGTAAATAATCTCATAGCTTGTGACATCTGCTAAAGTAAATTGATGAGCAAATTGCATTCTTACACTTTGAGGAGGGGGCCAGCTACATCAAAACTAAGAGTAATTATTCTTTCTTTAAAGTTTCAGCTATATTGAGATATAGGAGTAAGAGTCATTAAAGATAGGCATTAAGCTCAGTAAGTGTTGGAAAACACATTATAAGAAACACAATATAAGAAAATTATTTAGATATATTAATATTATGTATACATATATATTGATTAATAACTTAAGGCTTAAATTTTGAAACAACTGCACTTTTTTGTTTTTAAGATTCTTCCTGCTTGTAGCAGTTTTACAAAGTGAGTTTCACAAATTCAACTATTTAATTTATGTTGTTTTTCTCATTAGTTTGTGTAACAGTCTGAGGAATTTAGATTTTGAAATGTGAGAATATATATTTTGAGACACCTCTGGCATGTTTCTCTTTATTTTATAACAGAAGTTAATGTGGTTTGGACCTTATACACATAAGTTAGTATCAAGTTATTTAAAACTAAAGAGGTGATTTCAAACCTGTTTTAGTAGGGGAAGTGTTTGCAGAAAGTATTTAGCTAACTAAAAGAGTTTGTTTTCAGTTGACCACTTTATATAAATATCCACTTTATGTACAAGTGATTAATTTTGTATCTTCATGTAATTAGTGTAATAAGTTTATTAGTGTGATAACTGTGATTATACTGCTTTTGTTATGGATTATAATATTAAGGCAAACGTTTTTTTCAAGAATTTAAGGTGGGATTTAATTTCATCTATGAATAAGAACTCACATGCTCTAGCTTCTTTAACAAGCATACTCACTAATCCCTCCAGTGCATCTTGTTCTCTTGGCTCAGTGCCTTTGCTCAAGTTGGTCCTGTACTTTGACTATGTCCTGTTCTTCTCTTCATCCCACCCCCAATCCGCCCATCCACATTCCATCCAACGTTATATATTATCAGCTCCAATCCCAAATTCCATCAAGAGGTTTATTTTCAGCCCCTTAAGCAGAATCAATACCTCCTAAACCTAGAATTACCATATGACCCAGCAATTCCACTCCTAGGTGTATACCCAAGAGAGATAAAAACAGATGTTCACATAAAAACTGGTACGTGGATGTTTTGGGGAGTATTATTCAAATAGCCTAAAGGTGAAAGCTGCCAAATGTCCATCAAATGATGAATGGATAAACTAACATATTATATGCATACAATGGAATATTATTCAATCACAAAAAGGAATGAGGGACTGATACACGCTGTAACATGTATACACCTTGAAAACATTCTGCTAAGTGAAAGAAACCAGTTACAAAAAGACCATATATTATGTGATTTTGTTTGTATAGATTTGCCTATACAATCTATAGAGACAGAAAGGAGATTCATGGTTGCTCAGGGCTTAGCGGGAATGGTGGAGTTGAAGGTGGTAACTAAAGAGTACAAGGGTTTCCTTTTGAGGTGATGGTTGCACATATCTGTGACTATTCTAAATGCCATTGAATTGTGTATTTTAAATGGATGAATTATAAAGTATGTAAATTATATCTCAATAAAGCAGTTATAAAAACTAAATTTAAAAATTAATACCTCCTATCCATATTCCTGTAAGCATTGTTTATACCTCTAATAAAACATGTAGCACAGTCTGGTCATAATTATTAACTTAAGAAATCTGTCTTTCTCATTGCATTAGGAAGTTCCAAAAAATAGAGTGTTTTTTTGTTATTCCCTAACAAGCAAGTGCTTTGCTCTCAGTGAATATAAATTCAATTGAACTTCTTCATAATTAAGTTCCTTCACCTGTAAAATGAGAATGAGAAAAAAATAATTAAATGTTGCCACAAAGTCTTGTGCCCAAACTGTAGTTTCTAGTTTTTACACTTAATTCATATTTGCAAAAAGTAAATATTTGCTCTTCACTTGAAGTAAATATTTCTTCACTTGAAGTTTCCATTTTATATTTAGCAAGGTCACATATAAGCCATTTATCACCTTATTTTTACCTGTAGGAATAATGTCATTGGAATTTGCTTACAAAGCATTTTATACACATTTATCAGTAGAACCTTAATGTCATTTCAACTAGCTTAATAATGGATTGTTTTTTAAGTAAAACTGACTTTATAAAATTAGAATTTACATTTTTGTGGATGTTTGAATTTAACATAATTTTTCTTTTTTCTGTGGTGTGTCTACATGTGTGTGTGTGTGTTATTTTTCTAGTACTTACTAGAGATGAAAAGTCTAATTTTACCTCCAGAACACATTCAGAAACGGGGTGATAGTGAAGCAGTTGCCTATGCTTTCTTTCATCTTCAGCACTGGAAGCGAATAGAAGGTGCTCTTAATCTGTTACAGTGTACATGGGAAGGCAGTAAGTATTCTTTTCCAAATGCTGACTATTCACTGCATTCACAGGCAGCCTTTTTAAGTGAGATTGTCTGAGTTTCCATAGGATTTGTTGTTCAGATTGAACTCAGTGATATTAATTTGGTTTATTGGTAGAACAGATGTTTAATGTACTTATATTGGTGCCACATTTAGGAAAAGCAGAATATGTCTCTAAAAAAGAAAAGAAAATGTTATGTGAAAAAAATCTATAAAATGTCTTAAAAATAGCTTTGATAGGTAATTAAGATGAAAATGAGTCTGAATTGAACGTCAACATGTTTTTGTTTTGTTTTTTCCTCAGCTTTTAGAATGATTCCATATCCATTAGAGAAAGGCCATCTATTTCACCCTTATCCCAGCTGCACAGAGACTGCTGATAAGGAGCTATTACCTAGTAAGTAAATATTCTAGTTTTCCTAAACTTAAAAGTAGTTGTGAGGCCTGGCTGGTGTGGCTCAGTTGGTTGAGCATCATCCCATGCACTGAAAGGTCACTGGTTCGATTCCTGGTCAGGGCACATACCCAAGTTGTGGGTTCAATCCCCGGTAGGGGTGCATATGGGAGACAACCAAGATTGATATGTTTCTCTCCCTCTCCCTTCCTCTCTCTCTAATAAATAAATAAATAAATATATAAATAAATAAATAGCTTTTTTTAAAAGATTTTTAAAAAGTAGTTGTGAGATTGCTTTTCATAGTATTACCCCATTTTCAAAGTACATTTGGTTGAACTTCAGGATACTGTTTAAATACTATTTTAGCCATTTCTTGGATGTACTTGCATAATACAATTCATTCCCAAATATTTTTGGAATAGAACCCTGTGTTAGGGGCAGTGAAGGACACAAAGATTAAATATATTAAAAAGAGAGGGCATGTTATAAACATTTAAGAAAGAAATATCAATATTTCACAAAATTTTTTTCAGAAAATAAAGGAAAAAAGAACACTTCCCAACTCATTTTGTGATACCAAATCCACAAAAAGACATTATAAGAAAAGAAAACTATAGAACAATATTCTTCATGAATATAGACATAAACATCTTCAACCAAAATTAGCAAATTTAATCCAGTAACATATAAAAAGGATTATACTCCATGACCATGACAGTGGGATTGTCCTCACAAATGCAAGGTTGATTGGCATCTGAAAATTTAATGCACCACATTAATAGAATAAAGAGCAATAGATTTTTAAAAATATTTGACACAAATCCAGCTTTTTAAAAAAATAAAATAAAATTCTGAACAAAGTAGGCATAAAAGGGAACTTTCTTAATCCGATAAAGAGCATCTATGAAAAACCCACAGCTAACACCATACTTGATGGTGGGAGACTGAATGAACGCTTTCTCTAAGATCAGGAAACAAGGCAAGGTTATATGCTCTCACCATTCTATTCACCATTGTCCTGGAGGGTCTGGTCAGTGCAAAATCCCTAGTGGGATTTTGATAAGGATTATATTAAACCTATAGATCAATTTGGAGATCTGCAACTTTCCTCCCTAGACTTCATTTCAAGAAAGAAAAAGAAATAAAAGGCATTCATGTTGGAAAGGAAGAAGTGAAACTGTCTTTATTCACAGATGACATGATTTTCCATGTAGGAAATTCTAAGCACTCCATAGAAATACTATTAGAACTAATAAACAAGTTCAGCAAGTTTGCATACAAAATTCAATTACATATTTATATACTAGTAATGAACAGTCCAAAAAAAAATGTCAAATCAATTCTAATCACAGTAGCATAAAAAAGAATAAACAATTTAGGAATAAATTTAACAAAAGATGTGTAAGATTTGTACACCAAAAATTACAAAATATTGCTGAGAGAAATTAAAGAATACCTGAATAAATGGAGAGACATTCCATGTTTATGGAATGGAAGACCCAACATTATTTATATGTCAATTCTCTCCAAATTGATCTGTAGATTTAATACGATCCTTATCAAAATCCCAGCAGGGATTTTGCAAAAATTGACAAGCTGATCCCAGCATTTGTAGGGAAAAGTAAAGGACCCAGAATAGGCAAAGCAGTCTTTACAAAGAAAAATGAAGTTGGATTGACTACACTTCCCAATTTTAAAAAGAGCAGTCGAAAAGTTAGGAGAAGAACCTGAACTGTGTAGGGTTATAATGCTGAGAGCATTTCTGTCTCGTTCTTGCTCTCAGGAAGCTGGACTCTCAAAAGAATAGTCTATATTTTTTGTCTCAGTCCGTATCATCCACTCACTGTTTTTCTCTGTGAACTGATAAATTTCTATTAAACTTTTCTTTTTATGATTTAACCAGTTAAACCTGAAGGTTAGTAAACACTAGTACCATGTTTCCTTATATGATTTAAACCTGTGCCACAGTTTTTACAATTCTGGAGCCATTAGAATTGAAGTCTAAGGAGAAAAATTGCCGTTTCACAAGCCTCAAACTTAATGAGCTGAGAAGTTCAAACAGACAAATGACAATTTAGGAGAGATTGTAGAAGTTGGGTGTGCTGATATTTTTCTTCCTTTCTTTGAACTATCAAACTACTTTGTGTACTTCTTAATCTCCCCCTTCTAGATTTTAAGCTTGAAAGCCAGGATTCTCTTTATTGTCCCTCTATGTATCTCTGTAACAATCACCATAAAATTGATTTTCAAGAAATATTACTTGAATTAGTCATGTTTATTAATTTATTCTTATAAACATGACAAGATCATTATAAGTACTCAATGGAAATGTTAACTATTAGTACCTTTTCTTCCTTAGCCTGCTCTGAACACCTAAGATGCTCACAGGTTAACAGAAAGACTGATAAACAATGAGTTGAGTGCTGTATGTATGGAATAGATTATTAGGAAGCTGGAATGGGGGATGCCTAGATCTCCAAGGTCAGGGATGATTCCTAAATCTGACTCGGGTGACTTGAGACTTGAATGGTAAATCCATCATATAGCAGGAGGAGCAGGTTTGGGAATAAGAGTCGGGGAGTAAATGAGTTCAGACTTTGAGTATGTTGCACGTATTACATCTCACCTATATAGACACATATACATGTTCATTTAAAATGAAATATTTTATTACACAGTCATAATTTTCTAGGCATAAACGAGATCACTAAGGGAAACTATAGAGTGAGAAGTAAACTAAGGGTGGAACCGTGAGGGCACAAAAATGTCTCAGGAATGAGTGACTGATAAGGAGTCTGGAAGGCTCAGTGTGAAGGAGTGGTCAGAGAGACAGGACAAGAGCCAGAAGCAGATATCCTAGAAACTAAAAGGAGGAAAATATTTCCAAGTGAGGAGGAGTATCTGAGAGATTAAGTAAGGTACGTAATTACTGAGAAGAATCCATTGACTTTAGCAATTAGCAGGTCATGGGTGAGAAATTTTCTTTTCTAGGATGGTGGTGGTAGTAATTATTACTGTTTTTCCATTTTAACAGGAACAAAGATATTTAAGGCAAAGAAACATATTTTTAATTATGGAGCATCAGTATTTAAGAGTGTATTATATTAAGCTAATACATTTAGCCTAAAATAATATCCCCCAAATCATCACAAAGGTTGCCTGATATAAGGCCAACTTTACATAGTAATTATATGACTAAAACCAGGGTTATTATCATGTATTGTCAGAGCCATAGGCTATAAGAACAGTCAGTTCGCTTCTTGGCAGCACTTCATTATTTCTAGGGTGCGACTCATATGCAAATTCCAGGGATATATTATATTGTGTGTTCTTAGAGTATTTTTTTCTGTCTCTGACTGTGGTAGAATGAACACATTTTTAATAATGTAGAGTTCTAATACTCAGGAGTACTTAATATTTTTTGTTTTCAATTCTCCTTCAACCTTGATATGACTTACAGCATTCTGGAATTTGCTATGAGCCTCATAAGTTCAGACTTGAACTATTCCCTTAGTTCACATAGCTCTTTGGTTGTCTTTTATGCCTCCTGATAAATTTTTCTCTACAAGCCAGTGATGAAATTTGAACTTACTTCCAAGGGAGTATTTCTGTACTAGTCATCCATTATATTGATGTATTAGCTAAACATTGACTGAAATGAATCTATAGAAAGCAATCAAAAAATAAATAATTAGGTCTCTTCTACAGTATAAAAATTTCATATTTTAGGAAGTTATCTTAATAAAGCTATACAGTTTCCTAACTTATAAAGTGGGAATAATGTCTGTTTCTTAGTAATTTATATTACTTTTACGTTAAAAGATATAAAAGTAATATAAATGAAAAGGCAGGTTGTAAACCATAAAATGCTGTACAGTTTAATTAATATTAATTTTGCTGTATCTCAAATGATAGCAATTATAGTAGCCATTGGTGTACTTACCAGTTGGTAAGTATTTTTTCCCATCTTTGAGAATACCATGGTTTGGTTCTCGTGGTTTGCTAGAAGAGGTTGGCCTCTCATGGCTGAGGGATGGGGCATAAGGGAATGCTATTTTTTGGGTGCTGAAAGCATAGTGTTGTCCACAGCTTCTAATGTTTATAATTTTTTTTAAAAGTCAGATTTGTTGTGCTTTCACTTTAAACATGACTCAAGGCCCTGCACATTTTTTGGATTTTTTAATGAGTTTGGTTTTGGGTCTATACTTTCTGAATATAGTATAGGACCTAAAAATATCATGTCTACTGAAGGAAACTTAGGTGTAATATGCTCTGTGAATCATTATGTTTAAAAAAGTGAAATTTATAGCTGACCTTGATTCAGCACTGAATTAGTCATCCCTTACTTATGTAGGATATTACATTAGGAATTCCTCGGGTTTGTGTCCAGCTCTGAGCAGTCAACTTCCTGGACTAATGAAGTCGCAGAATAGCTTTTAGTTCAACAGACATTTATTTAGCACCTACTGTGTGCCAAGCATTGTCATAGGCTCATCTTAGCATTGTTATACAAGTATTTTCAAATTTTAAATAAAATATAAGTACTTGAATACTATTGGTAATGAAATACCCAATTATTAGAAAAGTAATACCTGAGTAAATGTTTGTATGTGGTAAAATAAGACACAGGATTTCACTTATGTCCAGAATCCTTGGGCTTTGGTATTCTAGTTCAATTTTTATACTGCTCAATAAGATGCCACATCTACACTAATAAAAGAGAAACATGGTAATTAGCGTACGACCGCTACCCTTTTCATTGGCTAATCAGTGAGTATATGCAAATTAACTGTCAGCCAAGATGGTGGCCGGCAGCCAGGCACTGAAGTGAGCATGAGGCTTGCTTGCTGCGGACTCCAACGTTCCCCGCCTCACTTGCTGGCCTCTCAGATGCAACTCTAAGCAACTATGTACTATGTTGCAAATAAGAAGCTAAACAAAACACCAGAAACCAGCCAGACTGAAAGCCAGCGGACCGAAACTTTGTATCTATGTTTTCGGCAGCGAGGCCTCAGAGCTAAAGCTGGCCCAGAATTAAAAAAAAAAAGAAAAAAAGAAAACAAGGAGCGGTTGGAAGCTTCAGTCACTCACTTCCGGAAAACAGCCCTCAGCCCCTCACCCAGACTGGCCAGGCACCCCAGTGGGGACCCCAACCCTGATCCAGGACACCCTTCAAGGCAAACCAGCCGGCCCCCACCCGTGCACCAGGCCTCTATCCTATATAGTAAAAGGGTAATATGCCTCCCGGCACCAGGATCAGCGGAGCAGCGAGGCTCCCAGCACCGGGATCAGCGTGACAGGGGGCAGCGCCCAAACCCCCTGATCGCCCTGGGGCTATGTGTGTGACAGGGGGCGGGGCCACAACCTCCCTATCCACCCTGCTCTGTTCATGACAGGGGAAGGCGCCCCAACCCCCTGATCAGCCCTGCTCTGTGCCTGATAGGGGGGAGCTCCCCAATCCCCTGGTTTCCCTGCAGCTCTGTGTTTGACAGGGTGCAGCGCACCAACCCCCTGATCAGCCCTGCTCTGTGTGTGACAGGGTGTGGTGCCCCAACGCCCGCCCCCCATGGGCCCTGCTCTGTGTGTGACAGGGTAGAGCCATAACCTCTCCATTAGCCCTGCCCCGAGTGTGACAGTGGTGGCGCCCCAACCCCCTGATCGGCCCTGCTCTGTGGGTGATAGAGGGTGGCGCCCCAACCCCCCTATCGGCCCTACTCTGTGAGTGACAGGGGGGAGCTCCTCAACCCCCTGATCGGCCCTGCTCTGTGTGTGACAGGGGGGAGCTCCCCAACCCCCTGATCGACCCTGCTCTGTGTGTGACGGGTACGGAGCCCCAACCCCCTGATGGGCCCTGCTCTGTGAGTGACAGGGGGCAGCGCCCCAACCCCCTGATCGGCCCTGCTCTGTGAGTGACAGGGGCAGCGCCCTAACCCCTGATTGGCCTTGCTCTGTGCGTGACAGAAGGCAGCGCCCCACCTCCCCATCGACCCTGCTTG